TGTGAAAGAGGATCTGTATTCAATCCAGATAATTCTGAAAAATTAAGATTGAAGCTCTATCCCAAACATCTGTATTACAGTATAATTAATTAATGTCAATTTTGTAGTGATTCATATTATAAAACATAAATATTAAATTTTAGCTATCAGCACAACTCTGATAAAAAAGGTGAACTCATCTCTTTTTTATGAACTCACTTGTCCGGCTAAACTATTTTTTACTAATTAAAAATTGAGCCCACCTAATTTAGATGCTTGGAAGCACCCGTAACTGATATATTCACTCTTATGCAATACAGAATAGGAAAATTAACAAATACTATACACATATAGCTATATTGAAAACTATAGAGTACGTAAGCCATATTTTTTGGCTTGTGCATTCAGATCGTGTTATGAATTTGTCAATAATAAGTCAATTAATTGGCTTCAATTCTGTAAATCTTTTATAAAGCATACATTCTAACCAGAATTTTACAATTATTAATTAATCATAACTTGCATATTACATTACTGTTAAAAAAAATTCTTTTTGGTTAAAATAAAAATTGTGCTGTAATGGTAATGAGAATCGTTAAACACTCCCATTTCATTTTCTGATTTCAAAATTTTGATAAAATTTTTTAAACGCTCATTTATTTCCGAAATACGCCATTTTTTTTTTTAATTCTGATACCCCTCAACAATAAATATTTTCATTTAATATATTTAATTATTTAAATTATTAATTAGACGTAAAATACGATTAGAAAGACCAGATCTTGTATTCCTGCCATGCTTTGCGCACCAGGCCAACCTATGCATTGGAGATATTTTTAGATGTTCATCACAATACAAACGTGCGGCAGAGCAGGCAATTGAAATAGCAGCATATTTTACTGACCGAAAACATTCAAAAGCAATATCCTTACTTTATAATGAGCAACAAAGAATTTATAAGACAATTTATAGCTTTGTTCGCCCTGTAATCACCCGTTGGAATTCCTACTATTATAGTTTCGCTGCCCTTAATAGAAGTAAACGGGCTTTACAATCGTATTCAATTCTTTATTTAAATTCAAATGAGCTATCAAGTAAAGCACGAACTGCTATAAATAGTGTGGCATTTTGGAAGAATGTTGAGATTACTGATTGTTTGTTGCCATTTGTTAGTATTTTAGATTACCTTCAGCGTGATGCTGCAAATCTTTTTGATGTAACTTATTCATTTACATATGTTGCACAACAGTACGAGGATGAAACTGACGGGTTTGGTTAT